GGAATCAGTCAAAAAAAAACACACAAAAAAAAAACGTGAGCATGATTCAGAGATTTCCGAACGTCCTCACCTTCACCTTGTGGTTCAGTTTTGGGAATAGTCTCACATTGCCAGACGATTCTCGACATCATCGTGTAGAACGCATCTCGCTATCATTCTGCTATGAGACAAAATTTTGTTAAACCAGTCGCAGTTGTCTTGAACAGTGCTAAGCAGTTGTGTCCCCTCAAAATAGTGATCAGGGGATTGTTTTTGCAAAATATTTGCATGTACTGAGGCGAGCACGGCCTGTAGAAAGAACTAGCAATGTTGCCTTATTGCACGATCCAAACCTTTGACAGCATTTGAACGTTTCATCATGTAGGTTGCTGTTGTCGTCTCCTGTAGTGAACGTTGGGCTGATGGCAGGCTCATACCCCCAGTCTACATCCGGTGAGTCCGACTACTTTTGGAATTGCTAACAGCATCGCACATGTGTGTGATTCAGAGATTTTGAGCTATTTTTGTACATTTAAAATCGCTTTATAAATGTATTTTAGCAACACTAAAAAATAAATGAAATATTCTCACGTTGTAACAGCGTGCTCGCTCACTTGGCATTATTGCCCAAAAACAACAAGACTTAGCATAACTGAAAACATCAGTTGCATATGTGACTACAACATTTTTATTTTGTTAATGCTGGAGTGCGTCTAACAATGCTGATGAAGCATAGGAGCAGGAGGTAACGCTCTCTGTGTTTCACAGTATATCTGTGTTTTAAGCCACGTTTCTGCTCTGGTGCACCAGTAGCATTGCGTCTACCAGCAATGATCAGTTTTCCAGAGCTGTGGAGGGAAGTAACTGTAGTGATGGAGACAGCGGAGGCGACCATGAAGCTTCCAAGAGAAGTTTCTGATGCTCCAGATAAAAAGAAACTCTGCATTCAGAGGAAGGCGACAGTCCATAAAAGAAAGACGATGAGGCATACGTCATAAATGCATTCACACAGTGTTTTTGTAATTGCTCTCATTGTCAGAAGGGGGAGACAAAAGTTCAACGCTGCAGGTTTATTATCATCTCTAAATTTCCTCCCAACTCACCTGTTTCTAGACTCAACACAGTTTGAATTTTAAACATCAGCATGAAGTTGAGAAGACATTTTGGTTCACAGCAGCTAGACGAGTGAGTGCCTCTTTAACTTTAGAGGGAAGAGAAATCTTCAACACCCAAAATCAGATAAATTCCAGGTGGAAATGTGTTTTGTTAATACACAAGTTTAGTTTGCGATCAGAGTACGCTCCAGGTTTTTCACTCTGACTTCATCCCGCAAACAGCTGAGCTGCCTTTGATTTCCTCCCGCACAAGTCTGGGAGTGTTTTCTGCCTGGAAACAGTTTTTTATGGACGGACCGCCTGTGTGTTTTTCTTTTCCCTTTTTTTTTTATTTCACAACCTCGCTGAACTTGAAAATGAAAATGAACTCACGTCACCCCTGCCTGCTGCCAGAGCCTGCTTTTGTCCCAGTTTTCTCTCCCTCTCTCCTCTCTGGGCTGAGTTTACAGCGCAGCGCTCACCTCTCTCTCTGCAGACAGCAGCAGCAGCAGCAGCAGCAGCATGTTCAGCTAATTCACTTTGAGTAACGAAGCTGTTGATCTGGTTTTGTGTATGAGCTGCACAGCGAGTCCGGCCGCCGCCGCCGAGAGGTTTTTTGAGGCGAGCGGGTGATGTGAGGCCGGCTGTGTGAGGAGATTACTCCTGTCAATCACACACTGAGAGATGAAGCATCACAAACAGCGTCCAGCTCCAGGAGTGTAACTCGCTCTTTGTCTGCCTCTATCTCAGACAGGATGTCGTAACTCCACAGCCCTGCATCACCTCCACCTTCCTCCCCCTCTTCCTCCCCTCCACTGTTTGCTCATGTCATGAAGATGATGATGATGATGATGATGATGGTGGTGGCAGCGCGGCTCGACCTCCAGCCTAAAGGGTTAACATGCAGCCACAACAAAGGAGCCGGTACTGGGCCGGCGTGTGCACAAGTGGGGGGAGGAAGGGGGGGAGGCGGTGGTGGTAGTGGTGGTGGTGGTGGGGGAGGATGTGGTGGTGGGGGGCTGCTCCGGCTGCCTTCTAGCCCCGCCCTGGAATTCTTTATTGGAGAGGCTGTTTACAACCTCGACGCATAGGAGTCCCTGGGTTCATCGGCCCGGTGGGGAGGGGGTGAGGAGGAGGATGGGGGAGGAGGAGTGGGGGAGTGTTGGACTCACAAGAGAGCGGAGAGGAAAATGGTACAGGAAGAAGACAATAAGAAAATATGTTGAGGGCCTCCAGAGCTGCAGGATCTGAGCTTTTGTTTCTCCCTTTTGTCTCATTCTTTGATTCTTCACTTCCGCCTTTGTTTCTGTGTTTAACATGAATTTAACGTGCACATGTCTGAGGCGGTGCACGCACGTGAAGAAGGAAAAAATGACTAGGACCGCAGCCAAAAAAAAAAAAGAAAAAGGAAAAAAAAAATACCCCAGTGGACTTTCCTCTCCTTGTGCTGCTGCAGCCGACTCCAGATTTCCTAAAGACCTGCAGCAGGATGACTTGTTTCTCTTTCATGATGATTCCTTTCATTGTTTTCTTCTCAGGCTGAGCTGCAGCTTCGTCTCTCTCAGGCTCAGTTTGAATGTTGTCATTCTTGTTTTCTCTGCTGCTGACCTGTCCGGCTCGAGCTTCATGTCATACGTGAGCTGCTGCTGCTGCTACGTCTGTCTGTGTGGGATGTAACTGGAGATGCATGTTGTTTATAATCTGCACTGCAAGAAAAAAAAAAAGTGTGGTGCTACTGTAGCTCACACAGCACCTCCTCCTCCTCCTCCTCCACACACTTGTGTTTACATCCACATTTTACATATCTGCTCCAACTGAGACAGTAACACACACTTACACAGACAGACTCTGTCAGTAACAAAAGAATTAAAAAAAATAATGCTGCAGCTAACTTATTTTTTGCCCAAGCAGACATTTTAAAATTGCTTGTTTTGCCTGATACTCAGATATTCATATACAACATGCAATTTACTGTCACAGAAAAGAAGGAAACTAATAATTTGTTATTATATCCACATTTGAGCAGCTTGAATCAGTCATTTTTGGGCATTTTCCCTCAATAAAATACTTCAGAATTGCTGCAGATTATTTTTCTGTTGATTAATGAACAAAGTTTCCTGATTCAACTAATACTACATGTATTTTTAAAAATATATTTAAATGCATTTGTTATTTGAACAATATAACTGATGCCTTTATTGAGAAAAAAAAACTAAGTGAAGGACAAAGAATACATTTAGTACATCTAGTCTTTAAAAATTACAACCTAAATGTGTTATTTCTACCATAAAAGCATCTTAGAAACCTACAAACATTTTTTTAATGTGTCTAAGAATACATAAAGAATACTCAGTGTATTTTTAAATTAACATTTTATAGTTGTGTATCATGATTTTCATATATAAAGTTTAATTTAAAGTTTATTTGCCAGATCCACTATAACAGGCAGTTAAGAGAATCTAAAATTAATTCTATTTTCAGTATCATCTTGTATTTTTGTGTTTCACATTTCCATTTCCAAATAGTTTGACATGTCAACCTTTATCATGTTAACTGTGGTTCTAATGTGCTTAGTGAATAATATGCAACAACATATACTTTAATGTGACCAAAAGGTTTTTTTGGGTTTTCATTTTGACCATAAAAACAGAACCATTACATAGATTATCATGAACATCTTATATTGTGGGTTTTAAAAATGATGTAAAGTGTTCTACGTTTGTCATCTGAGCCATAACAGACATGTGTTTTATGTAAATACAAGCTGATCACTTTTGTAAGAAAAAAAAAGTGCAACAACATATATTTTAAGATTTTTGTAATCTCAGCCATAAAAGCAGGGCCAATTCAATCGACATCACAAGTTTATCATTTGAACTATAAAGAGATTGTAAAATAATATTCACGGTGACCAAAACATTTCAAAACCCAGTATGGAGTAAATTTTCACATTGTAGCCTTGAAATCATTGCAAACACCTAAAAATCATAACCGTGGTTCTAAATGTGCTTCTTTTTTTTTTTTAAGTGCAGCAACATATATTTTAAATGTATTTTGTCATTTCCACTTAAAAACAGGGCGAATTATATTTAACACAACTTTATCATTTGAGCTAAAAAAAAAAAAAAAAGATTCTAAACAATATTTTTAGATGACCATCACATTAAAGTTTGACGTTTGAGCCTTTAAATAATTGTAAACCTATGAGCATCGTGTCATCTGTGCCTCTAAATGTGCCTCAAAAATTGCAGCAACATATATTTTAAAGAGGCTTTTTTTTCTGTCATTGCAACCATAAAAACAGAGAATGTAAACAAGATTTAAGGTGACCACAACATTAAAGTTTCAGCCTTTAAATTATTCTAAACATGGAACCATCATGTCAACTGCGGTTCTAGACGTGCAGCAGCATATATTTTAAAGGTTTTTTTTTTTTTTTTTAATCCTTTCGCCCACATGAACAGTATAAACACATACAAACCCGGAGCTGAGTGTGAGACGCTGTATTCGCAGCTTCCCCCTCATTATACTGACAATAATAATAATAACAATAAAAATAATAAAGTGCATTTTGAAGTCCTCTGCTGCTCGTGCAGTTGCTCACTACATGCCTGGCCTGTCGCGCGCGTCCTCGCCGGTGTCGCGGTGCCGCCTCGCGCCTGTCTGCTTCCCAACCTTTCCCCCAGTTCGTGCGCGCGGCCGGGTTCACCGGGTTTACTCTGACACCGCTGACTCCGCGGCCCCGCCCCCGACAGCCACGCACCCCGCCCCGGGCCAATGGCGTCGCGGCCACGTACCGATCACGCACCGCCTCGCCTCTGATTGGCCGCGGCCCGCTACACCTTTGGCTGCGATTGGCTGCGTGTTACCACCCGCCAGACGGCTCTGAGTTTTGTTTCTGTGTTTTTTTGGCTCCCAGCTGAAGCCAGTCTGCTGGCAGCGGCTCAGATCGTTACCGACCCGCTCTCCGCTGCTGCTGCCGCCGCCGCCGCCGCTGCCTCCGCGTATTTACTCTGTCAAGCTCCTCTTCCTCCCCTCATGCTCAGCTTCTCGTCGGAGCGCTCCTGTCAGGTGAGTCCCGGCTCTTTCATCTTCGCGGCTGTTTGCCACAACTTACCCCGGAATATTCACAACATCTCCGGCCGCTGTCGGTCAGCTGCTGCCCGTTGATCCCCGGGCTGCAGGTCCGCCTGGTAGCGCTGCTCGCCGCCTCATTTTTACTGTGGAGCTGCCGGCTGGTTTATCTGAGGTCACAGTGAACTCAGTGTCCCCAGATTTTGTGTGAGTGTGTGCGCGCCGCTGCAGCCTGCATGTGTGTGTGTGTGCGTTAACAACAGTTGCATCCCTGCAATGCATCGGAAAGTTTACAGATGTTGTTGGAGACACAGCTGACTGTTTGTTTTGATGATGCAGATTTCTATTGTTTGTGAGTACAGTCACATTTTTCTGGATTGTCTTTGTTAGACTATGACTCATATGAGCAAAAAAATAATAATCAGCGATCATTTCCGCAATCGATTAATTGCGTCTGTTTTTCCTAAGCATAAACACAAAAATATCCCCTGATTCCTCCTGCTCAGGTGGGACTGCTGGCTGCTTTTCTTTGTCAAATATGATCATAAATGGCATATGTGGAAGTAAGTGGCACTTTCCGTGGTCTCTAGAAAACAGTGCACGTCAATTTTTACTATTTAAAAAAACATTATCACTCAAGAGATTGATCGGTTAATCGATAAAATCACCAGCAGATTGATTGACAGTGAAGTTGCAGCCCTTGTCTTTTGTTGTGGGATGCCTGTTGGCTGTGATGAGTGAGCAGGATGTGTTTAATTTATCTTGATGTGGTCTATTAATAGAGTTCAGCCAGTGATTTCTTTGAGTTATAACAGTAGAGATCAAAGTTTAACAGCAGCTGATTAATCTGACCCTCTGAAACCAAGAAAAATGTTTAATTTATTTTTTAAAAATATGAGAATAAGTTGATTGTCACATTTGTGCAGCTGTAAGGAGAAGTGGCTCCATGCTGTGTGGTGATGCTTTAAAATAATCTGTTCCATTTTTCTCTTCAATATTGTGCCTCTCACGTTTTATTTCATGTTGCATCTGTTCAGTCTGAAAAGCAGACATGTTCAGAAAATGAGCAAATATTCACACGTGAGAAGCTCCAACGTGTGAATCTTTGATGTTTCAGCTTCAAAACTAAGCATCTATTGATCAAATCTGTAATGTGAATCACTGGATCTTCTGCTAATCGGCAGATCAATGAATCAGTCACCCTCAGAAAGCTGCACCTGAAAACAAAGAGACGGCACAAGAAACAACACGACCACATATGGAGGCAGAACACAATCAAAAATCAAACCACAAAAAAAAAAAAGGATGACAAAAAGGGATGAAAATAATACATCGGGTTGATTAATACATCCTTTCTGGGGCTGAGTGGTTTGACAGTAAACAGGTGCCGGTGATCATAATAATGATTGTTAAGTAGCAGCATTAATTTGTGAATAAATCTCTGCATTGTTTCTTGTTGCTGTAATCTCATTATGTGTGGTGTGTTTGTGTGATCGTGGGAAATCACAGCGTCGGAGCACGATGCTCTGTGTGTGTGTGTTTGTTGCAACAGATTGACTTTGTTTTGTTCAACTATACTTCCTGATGGGAGCTTCCTC